AATAAGCTCTTATTAAGTTAGCTTAGAGTTTAAATTAGTGTAAGCTATACGCAATCCTTGTGGCATAATGAATGTAGGTAGTATTTTATTGACTCCCATTGTCTCGGCCGACGCGACGGTTGGACCGTAAACGTAAACAGATGACGCTTTCTAACGATAATGAATATAATATTATAACAGTCAATGGTTCATTATTCTAATGTGTTGTAAGATTAAAAATATATAATGAAATATATTATCTGTTGTATGTTATAACGCCCAACTTTAGGGGTGACCGACCGCGCGCACAAATGCAGCTAGCCTCCCCCTCCCGCACCTCACTAATCGTCGCTTCACACCGCTTGAGATAAGACGATCTACTATCAGGCGCTAACAAACCCCCGTCCCGGACATAAGGACCTATGCCCGCGAGTAAATTGGCAATTAGAAGACGCTTTGTATTGTTGGTTTTTACAAAAACGATCAACTGGGCAAATGATATCTGGCCCTTTGCTTTGTGAAAAAGCATTACAGTTAAATAAAAAATTAGGTGACGGCGGCTCGTTTGTCGCAAGTAACGGATGGTTATATAGATTTATATCTCTTCATGGAATTTAATCAATGTTTATTAAAAAATAATAATTTCTTAATAAACATTGATTTTCGTTGAAATTTTTGTTTTTAATAAACACATAACATTATGTATGTACATATGTACTACAAATGCACAAAACCCGCTTTTCTTCATACATTCGATCATCCGGATTTTCGATTATCCGAATCCCTAACGGCAACAATTAGTCCGGTTAATCGAGTATATATATATACATATTGAGAATCTAAATTGAGAATTTGCTACTTTTAATATCGCTCATTTTAATATCAAAAATTTAGGTTATCTTTATAGCAGTATTATATTTTCAATTCAAAATTAGTACTGCATTTGTGATAATAATAAAATGTAGGTATGTATATAGAGTACTCACTCATTTTCTTTCACTATTTTTTCGTGACTTTCTTCATTAATAATAAATGCACTTTGTTCATTCATATTCAAAATTTCAAAACACTTTATACACAAACCCGTGTCGAAGACTGAGGAAAAGAAACGACGTTAGACCATCGTTAGACAATGCACGGCCTTCAAGCCACACCTCCGTGCCCGTCGGAGCGTGAGGTTTTTTTCGTTACGAAATTTCTGGATTTTCCCGCACTCAAGGCCCGCGATAGAAGCTATGCAATAGCTTAATATACTAATCCATACTTAACCTAATATTTATTTAGCTATTAATGGATGAATAGATGGCTCGTTAAAATTACTTTGAGTGTGGTGCTTCCAATAACTACCGGCATAGGTACGACAGGAGTATTACACATGACCTTTGTTTTGATCATGTTTATTTTGAGAGCTAAGTCCAAAATAATCTGTCTATCGATTGCACACTATGCAGGTCATTGAGCATAGTGCTAAGGTATTCTAGCGATTCTGCCATACGGACTATATCGTCGGCAAATCGAAGGTGAATGATGTACTAGCCATTGATGTTAATACCGTATCCTTTCTAGTCCAGTAGCTTGTAAAACGAAGTCCATTGTTGGCTTGAAGAATTTTTGGGAAATAACGTAATTCAGTATTACACCTCTCTGCAGGACAGGTTTCGTACCTATCCAACCGCAAATGCCTAGGTAACAAAATAGAACAATTTAAATTGGTTCAGTAGATACTCGACATTGATGTTAATACCGTATCCTTTCCAGTCCAGTAACTTGAAAATGGTTTATTTTATTTAAAAACTTACACGTAACACCTTAAGCTAAAGGGTACATAGGGCGGACTTAATGCCACGTGGCATTTTCTGCCAGTCATCAACCCTGGGTGCCAAGGACAATTGTTGGCAGATGCGGCCATTATACTTAAATAAGTGCTTATACATAAAATATACATATATGCAAAGTACATACGTACACATTACATTTAAATATACACACATATAGTATAAATATACGTAAAATAATACATACATACATATATATAATATATATACATGCTTATAAACTTCGTAAATAAATATCCAAATAAATGATATATATAATATAATGTTTGTAAATTAATAATTGTTAATATAATGTTTATAAATTTCCATTGCTGGGTTGAAGAATTTTGAGGATATAATGTCATCCAGTACTACACCTCTCTGCAGTTAGATAGGTTTCGTACCTATGCAACCGCAGATGCCTATGTAACAAAATAGAACAATTTAAATTGGTTTAGCAGTGTCCAATACTCGACATTGATGTTAATCCGTATCCTTTCTAGTCCAGTAGCTTGAAAACGACTTCCATTACTAGGTTGAAGAATTTTGGGGATATAACGTTATCCAGTATTACACCTCACTGCAGTTAGATAGGTTTCGTACCTATCCAACCGCAGATGCCTATGTAACAAAATAGAACAATTTAAATTGGTTCAGCAGTGTCCAAGAAATCAATGAAAATTGAAAATACATAAAAACATATGCATTAAATATAGAACCTCCTCCTGTTTTAAAGTTAGTGATGAACCATGTTATGTAATAATAAAAATTCGCGTATAGTGAATGTCATAATAAACAAGGAAGTGTCTCATAATGTTAATTTATTACATTTATATAATACAAAATTATAACATAATTTACCTATCCTAGCACAGTCGTAACTTATTAGAAAACTCCTTAAACCGGACTAACAGTTTTACATTCTACATACTTACAATTTTATTTTTAATTTTAGAAACAAAATACAGACATCAGACATCCTTCACAATATATCAAGTATCAAATATTCTTACACTCAAAATAATCTGTCCATATCATATAAATAAGAAGACGACCAAAGAAAATGTTTTTTGAATCCCAAATTAAGTTAATTTGTAAAAATCAATTTGAATTGTGCGCGAATATATTAATTGATGATACTTATTTAACTGTTAAATACATATTATATTATTTTGGTTTATGAGATACTATTTTAAAAGAAAAAAAAAATTTAAATAAGTAATTAAGTTTGTATAAACATAGAAGCACATTTTATGGGAATCCAAACAGCCTTTCGTAAATTAACCAATATTTTCATCACTATTTAGTTAATATGGATGTCAGATTACATGAATTATAAATACTCAAATTTTGAGTAGTTCATCAAAACAGAAAAGTTGCATGTTATTTAATTTTTTTAAGTATACTAAAATTATTGAGAAAATTTTAATGAAATTTGAACAGTTGCTTTTTCATTTAAAAATGGTTTTTCTAAAATGTAAATTCAAACGCCAGTGACGTCATTATATCGCTTTAGTGACGCCACCCAACGGTGAAATGATAAAACACTCATGTTTACGTTGTCAAAATGAAAAAAAAAATGTCATTGCATACTAGAGGCCTACAGGATACAAATAGGGTATGTTCCGAAATATTTCCAGTATACTGGCGAATGCAAATGACATCATTAATTGACGCCATAGGTATTCGCATATAATATATATCGCATATAACGAATCACCAGTATGGCGTCGATTTATGACGTCATTTGCATTGGCGAGTATACTGGGTTCTATTTCGGAACATACCCATAATTATGTTTTGTAATGACACATGATTGCCCATTGGCTTACAGCCTCAATGGATATAATGATGTCACAAACAATCACAAGTCGTTTTTTACTCAATAATTCAAATATTTTTTATTTACTAAAACAATGGAATTGTTTTATTAATTATTAATAAAATTGTTAGTAAAAAAACTTCAAATTACTTTAAATGAATTATTCTTTCATTTATATATAAATAAGTGGCAAAAAAGATTAATGCAACTTCTCTATTATTAATTAGTAAATTTTCATTACTCTGCAGAATTCATGCGAATTCCCGCCAAAAATAACTACGTCGTACTTAAATAAATTCCTTACGAAAATACATTGGGATAAAAGCAAACATGTTGTTCTAAGATTATGGAACACAATTTATTAACTTAATCAAATATTAATTATATTAAATAATAAACATGAAACAAAGCAGTGATATTTACAAGTTATTCGAATAACATATGCAAGTTTTTAAAATCAATTTGATAAGCTTTGTAAAAAAAATACTAACAGCAAACTAAGAAAACGAATAATAATAATGTCCTCCAAACCAAATTTCGGTCTCGGAGGCCAGTCTCAATGGAGACTAGTCACCTGCGCAGCACAGGATCATAGTGCCCAAGTGTATGAACAAGCACAGATGCACTCTCTATTCTCTCACTCTAATCGTTCGATGGGATGGCAATCCCACACAACCGGAGAGAGATTAGGCGCAGGACCAACGGCTTTAATGCTTTCCGGGGCACGGGGGTGAGAACACCACTGACTTCCTAAATCTGGGCTGCTACTGAGAATTTCTTGATAGAAAACTCTATAATTGGTTTTTGAGATTGGTTAGCTTGGTTTCAGAGTCGGGTTCGAGTTCGGCGGCACATACACTCATGCAATATAATCCTGTCCTGCACGAATGGCTAGGCTCCGTTGAGGCTGGCCGCCGTGACCGAAATTCGGTCTGGATTACATTGTTATTATTATTATACAAAATTTTAAGTAATACAATAAATTTAAATGTAAAACAAAAAAGCATGTATAATGTATAATTTTTAGTCTGTGACACTAAATAAGAGCGATTGAAGAACACTAAATATTTTAAGTAACACCAAAACCTCAGCTAAACTTCATACACAATCACACATACATATGCACTTAAAACCATGTTGATGGCAAATGATTGTAGATGCGCGTACGAGTGTGTGTGTGTAACTTATTGTAATGATTTTCTCTTTGTTTCGGAATCACTTGAAATATACGTAAGGTTAAGTATACCCTTTTTGTTGGTAAGAGCTTGTGAACTAAACAACTATGACAAACTGTACATGATGTCTACACCGCAACCACAACTAAAAACAACAGTATGTTGAAACACACAAAAATATAAACATTCAACCATATTTTCCATTCTATTTTAAATCTTCAAAATCAATATGTTGCAATCATTTTCTCTTTCTTTCACTTCATATTTCAAATCAACATTTTTCGGTAAATTTAAGCCAGTGTCCAATGATTTGTTACGTCGTTTGTTTGGACTTGACTCGGCTTTTGTTTTGCTTAAGCTAGTGTTCAAAGTTTTCATTTTACCTAAACTGGTCTCTAACACTTTTTTACTACTTATGCTGCTCTCCAAAGATTTTGTTTTACTTGAAGTAGTAGTATCTGATGCTTTTCTACTACCTACACTGCTCTCCAACGATTTTCTTTTACTTGAAGTGATATCTGGCGCTTTTCTGTTGCCTGAACTGCTCTCCAATGTTTTCCGTTTACCCATACTGGTGTCAATTGTTTTTGTTTTTCCAATACTGGCCTCTGACAATCTTGTTTTACCAGGTATGGACTCAGATTTAGTTTTCTCTTGACTGGTGTCCGAAAGTTTTGATTTGAAACTAGCTTCGGATGATCGTGTTTTGACAGGAATGGACTCTGTTTTGGCTTTATCTATACTAGTATCCAATAATTTCGATTTTCCCATATTAGTCTCTGATCTTGACCTTCCTACACCAGTCACTGTCAGCTTTGGTTTACTTAACAGAGGAGAGTAAGGCTTTACGCCATTCGCAGATGTAGTATTATTATTTGTTATTTTTGGTTCTTTGCTAACATTTGGTTTAGATGATATATCAATCTTGCTGGGCTCACTTTTTTGATTCGATATATTTGACTTATTTTTTGGTTTTGATTTCGATGGAATAGGTGTGACATTAAAATTTTTAACTACAAAATCTTTATACGAGTCATTGAATGAAGATGGTGATTCATCCTTTATTTTATCACTGAGGTTCAGAGGATCTGTTTTAGGTTGATCGTTGTTTCCTTTATCCACCAACATAACTGGTGTATCTTCAATCTGGTTATCCATTGGTGATATTTCATTCAATTTTAATAGTGGATCGACCTCCTCATTTTCACTGTCCAACTCATTAATTGCTTTACTTATTTCGGGCTGTGCAAGAGAGAAGGAATTAATTATTTTGATTGTAGAATCCTGAAGCATTGATAGAGGTGAAGAATTTAAAGTTTGCTCCTGATAGGCATTGTGTTGATAAATCCTTGTTTTGAACCGTTTCGTAATTGGCTCAGTTTCCGGTTTATCCATATTTAACGCTAACTTTCTCTTTTCGCCTAGACCGCCCCCCAACTCTCCTAACACCCAAGTTATTTTATCCTCTATTACTCTCTTAGTTGACAAAGAATCCGAGTCAGGATCTTCTTCGTAATTATTCAACACAGATGTCATATCCAGAGCTTTGCCAATCAAAATTTTGAGAGTTGCAATGTTTATCTTTGCAGCATCTAACACGATGCATTCCATCAGTTTTTTAAATTGTAGATACAAATCAGTTTCGTCCTCTTTCAACTCATTTATTTGAGTATAACCATCAGAATTTTGAAGCAGGGTTGTTAGAGAGTATTTCTTATATTTATTTGCTAAAACATAGCCTTCGAAACAGTGACTATAATGATCTTTATAGAAATGAACCTGTATGCCTTTAGAAAACTCTTGGACAGCAATAGTAGATGGGCAGAAATATGATGTAGTTTCATCATATGCATTGCTACCTTCTGGAAGGAATGTGCAACGATATATCTGCTTGGAGTTATATGTTCCAAAAGTCGCATACCTTACTTTCGTTTGAAGCTCCATGTCATCTTTCCAGATCTGGAATTCTGTAAATAAAGTATATTTTGCGTAATTTAATAAAAATTTGATACATTAAGATTAAATTAAAGCATGCCAATTTTGGGATTGTTTAAAGACTTTATATTTTCAAACCTTAATTAAAAATTTAGATACATATTAATGTCATAACTATTTATTATATAATTATTGTATGTCTCTCTATTCACAATTTGGATTTAAGTATAATTTCCACAATTTGGATTGGACAAATGGCTGGACAGATAACACTTATACTGTTTTATTTAAAATCTTTTCTATTATCTATTATCTTTAATATTCTATTTTATAGTAGAGCCATGCTGCAGTCATATTAGTAGTATAGTCGTAGCAAGAATGGGTCGACTCGACCGGGGAAGGACCACGCTTTCATAAGAATACCAGCGTAAAATAGTAGCTTAATGCTGCTGTGTTGGTGAGTGTAGAGAACGGGAGACCCTTTTTATTGGAAACGAGGCATTTCATCTTAGTCCTCACGGGTGATAACGCATCTGCATTTTGATTTGTAATCGAGGATAGATGTAGATGTCTATGGGGCGCTGCAACCACTTAAAATCGGGTGGACTGTGTGCTAGTTTGTCACCCTATCTTATAAAAAAAAAGTTCTTCTTCTTCTTTTAAATTATGGCTTCTCTTGACAGAATTCTGCCAGTGTCAAGTCAGTCATGGAAGTGACAAGATAATAATAGTTAAAATAAGAGTTCTCAATTTAATGAGTGGGTTCACAATCTACAACAAAGACTGGATTTTGGGCAGGATATCGTAGAGAGAGAAAGAAAGTTTAGTTTTTACACTCAAAGAACAAATGATTGACAGATCCTTCATCTAGGCCACATTCACAGATTGAGCTATCCCTAATCCTGAGTTTGGCCATGTGTACAGGAGTGTGCATCTATTATGACAAGATTAATTGTAATGTTTTTAAATTCTGTCCATTCTGTACAATCTTCGGAATGCCTTAATGGACGGAGGACTTAATGGAGGAGTCATCTAGGCTATAATTTATCCAAAAAATAATGGAGGATTTAATTGTAAAGTCGAAAAACTGATAATATAAATGTTATTTGATAATTTACATCAAATATTATAACCAGAGATGAAACGGATATCCAGTAACTATCCGGTATTCGGCCTATCCGGCCTAAAATTACTATCCGACCGGTTACCGGATAACAAACAGCTATCCGACCGGATACCAGATTTAAAAGAAATTTTGTTAAGTACTTCATTTATGTCACTTAACAAATATAATCAGTAATCACAAAATTTTCATTTTAAAACTTATAAAATTAGTACTCGTACTGCGCTAAGGCACAGAGTAAATAATAGTATTACGTAACTAAGGGCAAATTATGTTGAATAAATACAAATTTCTCTGCATTGAAAGGTAACAAGCGGTTTCATCTCTCTTCATAAACAAGGCCAGCATCAGAAAAAAATCTTTCGCTGTACACACTGCTGCAGGGTACTGAAAGATAGATTTTGGCAAACTTTGATAAATTTGGGTATTGTGTAGCAATACCTGCTCACCAAATATGAGAGTCACGATCGCGAACAGTTTGCACTGATTTTACTTTTCACTTCTTGCGATGCACCAAATGGCAATATTCGGCAGAATATCCGGTGACTGAATATCCGGCTATCCGGCGATAAGACTGGCCGAATATCCGGTATCTGGCCAAACAGCTATCCGTTTCATCTCTAATTATAACAGATAAAAACGTTTTTACACAAAAAAAGGTCCTTGTACTTCTATCTCTTAAAGATTTGATGGTAAATTGATTTTTAACTTTTTTTCACTTTAATAACAATTTACAAGGAAAATATAAATATATAATACTTTTTTTGGTAAAAGTAATAGATCCTCAATATTAATTTTTAACTATTTTTCTATTTAGCTCATAGTTTTCAAAATAATAGCAAAAAATGGAGTTTTAGAGGGATTTCTTGGTAATTGATTAGAACTGTTTACCTAAAAACCCCACACTAACATAGATATGCCGATTATTTTTTTTTTGAAAATTCCATGCAAATTCTCTTGGTAAAGCTAGTAGTAAAATAAACAAATAATTATGATAATTGTTTTTGTTACTCCATACCTTTGATGCTCGGGAAGAACATGCTCTCCACTCCATCACAGTGCAATCCTGCCACATGCAGGTCGAACAACCTCAGACTGATAAATTGTTGTTTACATCCAGAGCACACATACAACGAACTTATCCCTGCATCATCAAGCTCCAGTCTGATATTGCCACAAATGTGAGGCTCTGTTTCGGAAATCCTTTCGTTACATACCTTACACAATTGCTTTACAATTGGTTTTATTAAATGCTGAGAATTTGGTGACCTGAAATAAAATATAAAAATTATAGGTGAAGAAATTTAAGAGAAAAATTAATATTTTATGTTTGGCTGGCTTGGCTTGATACAGGCCTCCTTTCTGAAAGATTCGTGTTGGCAGACTTCACAAGTCTGAAAAATATTTTATTGTTTAGACATGCAAGTTTCCTCACAATGTTTCCCTTCATCATCATCATTATCAGCATTACAGTCCTTCACAAGTCCACTGCTGAAAATAGGCCTCCCCCAAGTAATGCCACAAAACAGTCCTGAACCACCTGCATCCATCGACTTCTTGCATGTCTTACCAGGTCATCACTTCATCTAGTGGGAGGTCGCCCTACACTACGCCTACCGGTACGAGGCTGCCACTTGAGAACCTTTCTTCCCCATCAGTTCTTCGAGCTATATGGCCGGCTCATAGCCATTTCAGCTTACTAATCCGTTGGGCTATGTCGGTCACTCTGGTTTTACTGCAGATATGCTCATTTCTGAGTCTATCACGCAGAGAAACTCCGAGCATAGCCCTCTCCATAGCTCGCTGAGCGACCATGAGCATCCTCATACGGCTAGCAGTGAAGGACCACGTCTCAGATCCGTAAGTCATTACTGGCAACACACACTGGCTGTACTATCTAGTTTTCAGAGTTTGAGGTATACCTGACGAAAAGATGTGTCGTAATTTCCCGAACGCTGCCCAGCCAAGTTGAATCCGTTGATTGACCTCTCAGTCGAAGTTGGACTTACCTAGTCGGACTATTTGTCCCAGGTAAACATACTCGTCAACAACTTCGAGCATAGTGCTCCCAACATCTACCGGCATAGCTGTGACATGGATGTTAAACATGATCTTTGTTTTGACCATGTTCATCTTAAGACCTATCCATTGGGAGACACCATTGAGGTCATTGAGCATAGTGCTTAGGTCCTCCAGCGATTCTGCCATAAGGACTATATCGTCGGCAAATCGAAGGTGAGTGATGTACTCGCCATTGATGTTAATACTGTATCCTTTCCAGTCCAGTAGCTTGAAAACGTCTTCCAATGCAGCGGTGAAGAGTTTCGGGGATATAACGTCACCCTGTCTTACACCTCTCTGCAGTTGGATAGGTTTCAAACTCTGGTTCTGTACTCGGATAGCCATCATAGCCCTACTGTACAAACACTTCAGCACTTCGATATACCGACAGTCAACTTGGCACCGCTGAAGGGACTGTAGCACCGCCCAAATTTCAACGGAATCAAAGGCTTTCTCATAGTCCACATACGCAAGGCAAAGTGGCAGATTGTACTCTTCGGTCTTCTGTACAATCTGCTGCAGGGTATGTGTGTGGTCTATGGTACTGAAGCCCTTTCAGAAACCGGCTTGTTTGGCAAGTCTTCGAGTTTGCGTGCGAGACGGTTCGTAATGACTCTCGAAAACAGCACGTAGACGCGGCTCAGAAGGGAAATCAGTCTGTAGTTCTTCAAGAGAGTGTTGTCGCCTTTCTTAAAGAACTAGACCACCGCACTTCTGCTCCACGCCTCACACAGCCATGAAATTAAGAGTATGATCGGAGAGTTTTTGTGTTCTGCTGCGGGTCTTGCAGAACTTGGGTCCGACGGCATGGACAATTTCCACGAGCTTGTCATTCATATCGTCCACTGCATTGCAATCTTCTAGGCACTGAAAGCGGTTATGTAACTTGAGCTGAAAGGTTTCGGGATTCTGGATTAGAGCATGAGGGGACGAAGCGTTGACTTCATTAGACAAGACCTCTCCAACTTAACATTTAGGTTCAGTGTGCCTCTAACCATTTGGTGATCGCTGCCAGTTTTCACCCTTGCGATCACTGAGACATCACTGATACATAAATCCAACACCTCCTTGGGACAGATAGTCGCCCTCCCGATGATAGAACAAGTTGCCAGATTCGAGAATCACCGAGTCGTCCTCCTCTCTTTGGACGTCGGATAATCCTATAATATTCCAGCGTAACTTGTCTATCTCTTCTTCCAGCTCCAGCATCTTCTCGTTAGTCCTCAGGGTATGTGCGTTAAATGTTGCCAGGTCAAGTCGTCGTAGGTGGCAACCAAACCTCCACCGGAGATTTTTAGCACCCCCTGCCCCGCCATTACCATGATCGCCACCGTATAGCCAAGAATAGCGGGGCCGCCGGGGACTGGGGGCCGTCTATTTTTGTAATTGTTCATGGGGTGTATATTGCCATAGTTGCCACGCTTGGTGAGCGGGTTGGCAACCGCAGTTTTTTTGTTGTACAGTTGCTGTTATCAGGAAGATGCTGCTGCCCATCCTGTTTCCCTCAGTCGCCTTTTACGACACCCACGGGAAGATATGGGGTAGTGGATATTCTTAACCGCCACAACACGGTGTTTATGTTTCCCTTCACCACTGAGCAAATGGTGCTTAGATCGCTTAGATCTGAGCTGCCACAGCTCAGTAGCAGCATCAAAAACATAAATGTTTTTAGTTTCTAGTAGGTAAGTAAAGTGGGAATATGCTTATTTTTTAAATGTCATCCTCACCAGCAAAGACCAGTCTATTAATGCAAGGGTTACTGTTACACTTGCCTAACCTAGCATAGTAATAATTGGCTAATTGTCCAAATAACGAATGAAAGCTCACAGAATACCAGCATAATGCTGCTGTTTCATATGGTGAGTGTAGAGAACCGGATATCCTTTTTACTGAAATTGAGGCATTCCATTTTAGTCCTCAGTGGTGACAACACATTTGCATTTTGATCTTTATTTGAGGATAAATGTGGATGTCTATGGGCCACAGCTTCTACTTACCATCAGGTGGACTGTGTGCTCATTTTTTTCACCCAATGGTATAAAAAAAATATCTTATATCTCATATGCATATAAAAATAAATATTTATTCTAATTAATCTACACAGATGGATCTATGTTTAAACAAGCAAATTTATGAATATAACATACTTAAAAACACCTAAGGATTTTATCAGACAAGAAGTGGTCACGAGTTCAAGCTCACAAATCACGAATGCCTATTCTCTGGTTGACCAACGCTGTCAGAATGCCTGCTGTCTGGGTATGTCTATGTAACATAATACAACACAATGAATGCAGAACGCGAACGCGGAATGCTTGAACGCCTGAACACCTTCTGTCTGATAGATTCCTTATTGCTCCTATATTTGAAAGGCTGACTTTAAAACAAGACAATATTATGATGACACTAAATACTATGGCTATGACCTTTGTGTAAAGTTCAAACAATAAATTGACATAGTTTTACTGTAATCTGATGAACAGTATAAAATATGAACAAACAAACTTTCATTTTTTATGTATTAGACTAGTGATCTGCCCCAGCTTTGCATGGGTGATATCTGGATTCTACAACAGTGCCACCTACCAGCTCTCACAATTAGACTAAGCTCTAAAGCCATCCTTGAATAAATTTAATCACACACAAGAAATAGAAATTTCATCAAAATAGGTTCAGCCATTTTGGAGTTCAGTCACATACACAAGTACAGAAGAATTAACTCTATATTATATTAAAATCATCTTTTATATATAAAAAGCAATTGCTCTCTTGCTAAAACTCAAGAAAGGTTTGACGAACTTTAATGAATTTTTTTCTGTTTGAATATATTTAATATTTATTGAATCCAAACATACTTTACGTATAAACAAAAACTTATAAAATTACATTGACAAGACGTAAATCTAACTCAATACTATATTAAGGTATCTTTAGCAACCGTGCTAGGTCACAGACCTGTGTTACAGCTGCTAAGCCCTCCCCATTAACTACCAAATAGAAAAACAAAACCATAAAAACAATTTTACCGCAATCAAGAAATGAATAAAAGTGGGAAGAGGTAAAATAATTAGCTATGTGCTATGTTCTAATCCGACAAATGGCTCAATACTATTATAGCTAAATGTTTAATGGTATGGTACAGGAGTAAGGCGGGAGAGATATTCTATAAATGTGTCACCCACTTGTATTAATATTCAAATGTTATAGTAAACATTTACAAGAACTTATTTATATACTAGGGTGAATGCTGTAGTTATTGGCCACTTAACGTAAAATTTATTTTCTGACATCAATAAAAAACATGTTGATAAAGTCACGTACACTTATCTTATACCAAATAAAAGAGAATGGGATGGGGTCATAGGTAATAAAAAAATGTAAATAAAATCACATATTTATTGGTGAAAAATCTCAATCCAATTCAATCACTTAAGAAATCTAGCAATTGGCCATGAAATCGTAGTAATTATTATGACATGTCACAGTAATTAGCCAAACAATTTAATTATGAAATCTCAGTAAATTATTGATTCTTTTTAATATGAATTAAAATTTTACGCAGCTCAAACCTAATTCTTTTTGCCCTGATCTTATTATATTTAAAAATTCCTGATTTTCTTCGTCACTTTCACTCTCCTCGTTCTCAGAAATGCTTTCATCATTTTCCGTACAAAAGCAGTTATGGCATAAGAAATTGTCATCTTCCTCCTGAGGTATATGCATAAGGTGAAATTTAGGAATACATAATTTATGATAATGCTTTCTGACATTCACAACATTTCAATTTTATGTTCTTTACAACTCTTTTACACACACCACAGCAAGAAATAGATTCAATTTTTCTAGTTTTTTCCAACTTTTTTGTTTTTATTTCCTCTTTCTTTCTTCTTTTTTTTGCTCTCTCACAATTTTCTTTGCCTTCTTTTCTTCCTCTAGTCTATTCTTTTCCTTGGATTTTTCTTCTAAAATCTTTTGGTATTCTGGTCCTGATATGTGGTCATTGATGTCATCATCATTTGCTATTTCTAGGTCTTCTAAAGTTACAAATTCTTGGACGTTGTTATTCTGTAGATTACTAGTAATGTTGATTTGTTCATTATTTAAAGGTTGAATAGTAAAGGGTTCTTCGTCAGAGTGAGGAAAGTTTTCATATTCACATGTCTGGTGGTCAATTCTCGTGCTATTTTGTTCATCTTTGATTTTTTCAAGGCTTTGGTGTGTTGCCATGTTTATATTTTGACTGTCGTTTTCAGAAATATTGTTATAATTAATTGTTGTGTTAAAGATTTCTTCTTGTTCATTTGTCAGTTTTGGTTCCATGTCATTCTCCTTCCTCATTTGTATAAGTATTCTCTGTCGTATTTTCAGTATTCGTATGATAAAAGTTCCATATTTGATAAAGAGTGAAAAATGATTCATTGTTTTGCACATCTTGCATTATATTTTTAATATCTTTAAATTCATTAATCATTTCTGCGCCTACGATTTCTGAAAATTTTGTCAGTGATAGTGATTTTTCTGGTTCACCATTTGAAATGTCTACAGTGTCTTCAGATCTGGATGCTGACTTGGCTAAGCATTTAGAATAATCGACAGCATTTGGATCAAAAGGGTAGAGGCCGCAAGCTCGAAAGCCATTTACAATGCAGGTAGAACTAATTATGTCAGTAACTTTTTTTAAAACGAAAGCAAATTTTTGCTTAGAAACAACTTCACCAATGTTCTCAAGCAACCATTCTCTTACTGCCGATTTCCAGAACTGTTTTACGGGTCTAAATACACAGTACAATGACACATCAGCTGGCTGAAGAATTCTAGTGGCATTTGGATACAGAGCAAATATTTCTATTTGGAGAGAGCGAGCTAGTACACTTAGATCGTAGGTTAAATGAGATTTGTGTCCGTCAACAAACAACAAAACTGGTAGCTGAATGTTATTTCTCAATAAAAAAGGGTGAAAAACATGCTCGATAATATATTTAAATGTATCTGCCGTCATCCATCCTGAACTACTAGTTGCAACACCCCAGTCATCAGGTACAGTTTGTTTGATTCTCTCAGGTAAACGTTGACAGGGGTACACAATCGTAGGCAATACCATCCGTCCATCAGCAGATGTTTTAAAAAGTGTTGTCATGTTTTCTTTGGCTTTTCCTTTATCTATAATGTAGACATTCTTCTCTCCTTTTTCAGCAAAGACTTTTCCGGTTGATGGACAGGTTTGATAACCGCTTTCATCAGCGTTAAAAATTCTGGAATGGTCATCTAAAATGTGGGTTAGATTAGACTTGTTTATCTGATCTATGATTTGACCAAACCTGTTTCTGATATCAGATTCGGATACACATGCATTCGCTTGGGTAACAGCTTCACACGTTCTTGTAGTTATCCTAGGATGGCGTTTTAGAAAACCTTTTAACCATCCTTACCCAGGTCTATTTTCGCTGAATGGAGTCTCTCTAGGGTTTCATTCAGAAAATTTTGAACAGAATCTAGAATGTCTTCAGCATTTCTAGGAAATCCTCTTTTGCCCATATCGCAAAGCCAATCTTCTAACTGTTTTTCTTCTTCTCTAGTCAAGTAGGGTTCTGGTCCAAATTCACTCTTGCTATCCGGGTGTTTCAATTTAAATTGTAGTGTTGCTCTAGGTATACCATATTTTTTGGCTGTTATATGAATTGATATATCTTGACTAACGTCTTCTAGCTTTATCTACTTGTTCTTTGGTATATTGCGGTATCTTTGGCATATTGAAACAGTCTGAAAGAAATTTAAAAAAGTATTCAGTAATTGGCCACGTTACTTGCCAGCTATTGCCCACTCCCGGCTGATAACAAATTCATTGAATTTAGAACTGTAGAATTTTTGTATTGCGTATATTATACCCTTATAAGGTTAAAACTGCTTTGAAAAAACGTATGATGGAAAATTAGTAATTGGCCAGTGAAGGCCAATAACCGAAATTCAACCAAATTTGAATTTAGTTATTAGCCGGTATAACTTTAAGGTTATTAACGAACTTACGAATTTTAAAATTACACAGAATTAAACTTCACCTAATATACTAATAGAAACACATAATATTTAGGCACTGGAAAAGTAAGTTGCACAAAAGATCAAATTGTTTCAAGACTCTTACCTTATTTTTTTCTTAACAAACGGCCCACATCTGTCAAAACTTTTTCAAACTGACTGTTTGAGTGTTGTATAACGCCATCTAGGTCATATTTTATGAATAAAACAAAAATACAATAGATACAGGAATATATTTTGTCCTTTTCATTCATGGACTTGCTTGCATTTTCTTGTTTCTACCTTTTTTGTTACGAGTGGCCAGTTACTATAGCATGGCCAATTACTATAGCAGTTACCCTATTTCAATCTTAACTTAAGATCGTCTGATTACTGTCAAAAATTCTATAAACTATTAGCTATTAACATTATGATGTCCAGCTGAATGTAATTATTAGGATATGGGTTCTTGAATAGAAACTAAAACATTTTTTGATGTGAAAACTGATTGATGTGATTTTGCCTGCAAGGGAATGAGATAGAATACAGTATAGTTTTTCCTATTATCTCAGTGTCCTTTTCTGAAGGTTTCACTTCTACTACTGCATACATGTTTTTTAAAGAAGTGGGGGCAAACAAGTGTGTCTCATGTGATTGTAAGTGACTACCGCTTTCCATAAACAACTGCAACACCAGGGGTATTGCAAGTGTGTTGCCAGTCTTTAAATGGAGGTTATCATATCCTATCTATCTTATACTCATTATTAAACTGATTTGAAAGTGTTTTCAAGTTTATATAAATGTTTAAAAATATGCACTCAAGCAATAATAGGACGCAACATTCGCATATGGAACGCCGAATTAACTCTTTGATTGCTTGATAATAAAGTCATTTGCCGTTTACGTTTAATTCTAATCAATTATAAACATTGACATTTCATTATAATGAGGGACATAACCTATAAATTGCTTCCTAAAATTATAAAATTTTTCCTGACGAAACATGATTTAAATTATGCTACAATTGTACTTACACTTTTTCACCCGCTTCGTTTACACAGTGACTTTTTTGTATATGCCTATGGGCCGAAAAATAAATAGGGAATATTTTCATACATTTCGGACATTCGTATTCCGCATTCGCCATATCAACGGGAAATGGTTTTAAAGTTTCCTCCGAGGCGTTTATTACTGTCGATTTGGCGGCTGGCTTGCTCGAAGATACCTTTTTTGACGGTGTAGATTTTGACTTGCTGACCGCGAGTTCTACTAATTTTAAGTTCTTTATTTTCGGTGTTTGACTTTTATATTTAGAAATAGCCTGTTTCAGTTGTGTCACTTTCGTTTTTGGTTTGTTTGTAACTTTATGAACACACTGTTGATGGGATTTGAGCGCTTCCGCGGTCATTAATTTGCGACCGCAAATATCGCATTTATATTGCGCATTTCTAAGTTTTATCTTCGTGGCTGATCTGGTGCCCATTTTATATGCAGCATTTGAAGCACAGCACACTTTAAAAACTGGTGTTTATTTAATGTTTTAAGAATTAACGCATGTAAAATTAGATGACGCTTGCTTGTTTCAATTCAATTTTTTTTAAATTGCAATTCCGATACCGTATGCTATAGGGATGTACCGAAAAATATGTACGTATTGGTATATCGATGTTAAATAGTAATGAACGCATAAGGAAAAACCGATATTTTTCTAACAGCATGTCCATTATGATTTATGACTAAGATTCTTTTTCTAAGTACTCCTGTAGATAGGATACTAATTGAAACTATGGGTGTATTTAATTTTCAGTTGGCAAGCCGAGATATCGATATAAACGATGATATATATAAACCGTTACTACTGATTCGATATCTGAAAACGGTTTTCAATAACGATATGAAATCTATTTATCGGTTATGTAATCGTTGCAGCTAAGAACTGAAAACGCCCATGCCTAAACAATAGTAAACATGGCGGATATAATCTAACTGAATATAGAAGCACTCCTTCCAATGTAAGATAGTCATCTTTGAAGTACACTTTAAATTGTTAGCATAAAAAGCGTAAAGTTTGGAATCTTAGGCTTTTTAGGTTCTTTATAAAATAAAATAAATGTAAGTTATATTAGCTTATTCATTTGAGAATTTCTTACTAGTAATTTAATTGGAATTGTAATGTAATTTTTTGACTTGTTAGGTATTTTGTTGGCTATCCTAAGAAATAATTCTATGCCAATGATATTATAAGAAAAAGAGGTAGATAGGTTATAAGCGCACCGCAAGTAGCACGTAAAATCCATGCTAATTAGCAAACTTGAGCTCAGTCGTCGCGCTATCGTCGCGTCATTGACAACGGCGTTGATAGTAATTCGTGTTTTGTTTTTGCACCAAAAATGTCGTCATATGTGATGAGATTCTGCACTGAATAGGAATCATATTTCATTCGTTTACAATCTCCTTAATTTATTTTCGTATTGTTTACGAATTCAAAAATTACGGGTTTTAAAATATATTGTCAGAAAAAATAGAGAGAGACAAAAATAACCCAAAGAGTGAGTTTGAAACAGAAGATATATTGTATCTGATCAAAGAATATAAAAACAGATTGGTCTCTTCTAAGTATCGTAATACATATTGTGTACACATATTGAAGGGTAAATTAACTATGTCATTATTAATTAATAAGTTCAATATATTTGTTTTGTAGCGTAACGAAGTGGTATATACGTTCGTATATATATAATTATTACAGCACTTTATTTGATAATAAATTTAATTTTAAATAAAATCAGTTATACTTTTTAATTTTCCTCCTTTTAATGCATTTTTACTACTTTATTACTTTTACTACGTGCACTCATAAGTGAATCGCGTCTTAGGCATAAATCACCTTGTACGGTATAATGTCATATCTGATTAATTATTCTACATCGTTCCTACTGCACAAGACCACGCACTGTCCCAAATTACATTTTTCTCCTTTACGCGTGAGAAAGTTTAATCATGCCATCCTACTTTGACGTCTAATCGTAATGTAGTGTGCTATTGCAATATTTAGTTATTTATGTCTGCGTTAGTGTGCTGTTTTTGAAGATCGAATATTGTGTAGGTAACCTATCTACACCTTTTTACTTATAATATCACTGTTCTATGCTATGTTAATGTTTATTTGAGGTTTTGATTATTATGAAAGACACTATAAGAACCCTGTTTATGAAACGATTACCTATTATTTTTTTATATCTTCGATAAGTTATGAATACTAAGCGGTAGCAATTAAAGTCTTTATTGATGTAACAATCGTTGGTAGTCTAATAAAATAAAATGAAATAATAACCACAGATGATAACACCATTTGACTCTTTATCACAGACTATTATGATGCTTACTCTTTATCATATCTGTTACAAAGAAGGCCAAGTAGGACACGAACGGTGCTTAACTACGGCCAGATTTTCAATAATTATTCTTTTATTATTGATACTAGCGACCCATTCTGATTCCTTTCTATGGGTAGGGTCTATTAATTTGGCGTTACTGAGTTTTAAGATAACCATCAAATACCATTTATTATATCAATTTTTTGATTTCCCTTAAAATATCGCCTAGTTTTTTGTTAAAATACAGCCCAGAGAGCTCTCCAGTTGTTTGTGAAGTTTTGTTACAATTGGTTCAGCCGTTTCGAAGATTAGCCCGGACAGACAAACAAAAAGTCCAAATTTTTTAAAATGGTTATTCATGTGGTGTCGCATGCCATATGCAAATTACCCAGCTTGATATTACAGACAGTCACCCCAATTTAACTTCTTTGTATAGAAAAAGAAGTAAACTAATATCAAAATGAATAGAAAAAGAAGACCAGATTTTCTGATTTTATTTCTTTTCTATTCGTAGCACGATGGCCTACTTACGACTTATACGACTTATAGTAGTCGCTAGTGACTTAGTATCCTAGCTAGTGCTAGGATCATATTTCATGAGACGTCTTCAAAGAGAATTATTATTCTAAGATCATAGATGACATGACCATTTCTTAATATTACATTGCCATAATATTTCAAGATGTCATAATATTATGATCCTAAATATACAAGTGTTAAGTGTTATAAAATTTATATGGATCGTCAATCTCCAAATGTTTGTATGGTATATACAAATATAGTAGGCATGTTCGAAATATCTAAACGTAATTAAAAACGGTAACACATAATAAAACATATCGTATCGATATACTGCACAAAGACAACGGTTGTTACAATAACGCTCAATCGAAGTGAATTCAAACGCAACACAGCGTATTCCTGCATACCAGGTCGTCACTCTATCTAGTGGGGGGTCGCCCTACGCTACGCCTACCGGTACGAGGCTTCCACTCGAGAACCTTTCTTCCCCATCGGTTATCGGTTCTTCGAGCTATATCGTCAGCCCATTGCCACTTCAGCTTATTAATCCGTTGGGCTACGTCGGTCACTCTGGTTTTAATGCATATATGCTCATTTTAGAGTAATAGCTCGCTGAGCGCACTTGGCGTCTTCATACGGCCAGCAGTGAAGTACAACGTCCAGATCCGTAAGTCATCACTGGCAACACGCACTGGTTGTACAATCTTTTTTTTTTCAGAGTTTGAGGTATATCTGACGAGAAGACGTGTCGTACAGATGAGACCAGGCGCAAGACCAATGGCATTACGTGCTTTCCGAGGCTCGCAGGTGAGATACCGGCAACTTCCTGACTTTGAGCAGCTGCTGAGAATGTCTTGATGGGAAACTCAATAATAGATTTTTTGATCCGACCCGGGATTCAAACCTGAGACCTCATGATGAGCAATCGCACTACTACAATCATTAGACCAACGAGGCTTGTACTTTTGAGAATATTATGTAATATTGACAATTTCAGTAGTAGCGAGTTATTCGAGATTGAGAGAGAGAGAGAGAGAGAGAGAGAGAGCGTTATTTACCGAACGCTGCCAAGCCGAGTTGAATCCGTCGATTGACCTCTCGGTCGAAGTTGGGCTTACCTAGTCGGACTATTTGTCCCAGGTACGTACTCGTCAACAACTTCGAGCATAGTGCTCCCAAAAACTACCGGTATAGGTGTGACATGTACATTACCGGCATAGGTGTAACATGATCTTTGTTTTGTCCATGTTCATTTTAAGACCTATCCGTTGGGAGACACCATTGATGTCATTGAGCATAGTGCTTATGTCCTCCAGCGATTCTGCCATAAGGACTATATCGTCGGCAAATCGAAGGTGAGTGATGTACTCGCCGTTGATGTTAAGACCGTATCCTTTCCATTCCAGTGGCTTGAAAAAGTTTTCCAATGCAGAGGTGAAGAGTTCCGGGGATATAACGTCACCCTGTCTTACACCTCTCTGCAGTAGGATAGGTTTCGAACTCTGGTTATGTACTCGGATAGCCATCGTAGCCCTACTGTACAAACACTTCAGCACTTCGATATACCGACAGTCAACTTGTAATTCACTCTTGGCCGGCGGATTGACCAGTACCAGAAATTCGCATCTGCGACGCTGCTGTCCGTCGGTTTCTGGGTATTTTACTACCAACATAAACGAGTTTGTTATACCGTTATCTATTGGAAACCATTAGATTTTTAGCCATAGCCACCTCTTACGATACCCACGGGAAAAAATGTGCCTCTCTTACGGTTTTAGAAAAAATGGAGGAGGAGGGGGGGGGGGGGGTTATGGATGAAGATTTTTTCCATTCGCTTCATCACAGAGATGTTTTTGGCCCATAACTTTAAACTTAACCCTAGAATACTAATCTGAGTCATTTTGACTCGCACCGCACATATTTCTTGCTATCTCTCTCTAAAGAACGCGCGGATCGTCACGATTCTTTGTGACAACACAGTCGTCGGTAAGACGTTTTTGGAAGCGATAGCGTTGTGCAGGTAAGTGTCTCCATTTTGTAAATACGACGTACTTCAGAGTCGAAATGACTCATGATTAGTCTTTGTGTAACATTTTGAAGTTTAGCATACAGCGGTGTTTTGAGTTATTGCCTGTTTTTATTGACTTTTTTATCTGTTTTTAGATTAAAAATGTCTTCGTCACGTCCAAGCGGTGGTCGAAATTTCACGGACGCAGAATTGGCCAGATATCTGAACTATGATGGTGTCACTAGTGATAGCGATGGAGAAACTGAGGGGAGTGAAACTGAGGATTATTTGGAGGTTGAGGATTCTGAACAAACTGATGAAGACGACGAGCCAATGGAGGTAATATCTACCAGTTCACCCAGAATAGAATCACCTGTTACTCTCGAAGAATCTACGAGTAGCCAGAACACAGACATTTCACGTAATACATGTATTATTTACTTGCCGCAAACGGTTTTGCGTGGGAAAGACAGGCATGTTTGGTCTACGAAAAAGCCTCAATCATTGAGAACTCTTAGTTCTAATATTGTACGAATATCACGAGGTCCAACTTCTCAATGTCGCCGTGAAAATGATCCTTTGCAATGTTTTAAAATGTTTATTACTGACGAAATTATAGATGAAGTTGTACAATGGACAAATCCTGAGATTATAGTAAAACAGCAAAATTATTCAGTCATTAGAAACACCCAGAAAACAACCGATAAATGTGAAATTAGGGCATTAATTGGACTTCTTGTTTTAACCGCTGCTTTCAAAGACAATCATTTGTCAACCGATGAGTTGTTTGATGCATCTTTTTCTGGTTCAAGATATGTTACCACGATGAGTAAAGATAGGTTTGAATTCTTGATACGATGTCTTAGATTCGATAATAAGTCTCTAAGATTATCTACCCAAAATAGGGACAGATTTGTACCTATTCAAAAAGTATGGAATCTGTTTATCGAGCAATGTAAAACAAATTATAATGTTGGAATGTATGTAACTATTGACGAACAATTACTAGCTTTTAGAGGGCGATGCCCTTTCCGCATGTACATACCCAACAAACCGAAACCGGAGGACTGCCTCTTGGTGAATATTTTGTGAAACAGTTAACCCAACCTTTACATGGTTCAAATAGAAACGTAACTTCAGATAATTGGTTCACGTCTATTCCGCTCGCTAAATCTCTTCTTTCTCAACCATACCAACTAACTTTAGTGGGTACTTTGCGTTCGAATAAAAGAGAGATACCCAATGAATTACAAAACTCAAGAACAAGAGCTACTGGTACTTCAATTTTTTGTTATGATGGTCCTTTAACACTATTGTCATACAAGCCCAAACCTAACAAAGTGATTCATTTATTATCATCGTGTTCTGAAGAAGGATCTGTAAATGAACGAACAAAGAAGCCAAGTATGGTAGAATTTTATAATCAGACGAAAGGTGGTGTTGACACTCTAGACCAAATGTGTTCAAATATGAGCTGTAGCCGAAAGACTAGGAGATGGCCTATGTGCCTTTTTTATGGAATTCTTAACATTGCTTTCGTAAACAGCTACGTAATATACTGCGAAAACAAGCTCAGTGCCAAAGAAAAGCCGCTAAATAGAAAAACATTTATGCGTGAGTTGCACATGCAACTTGTTAATCCTTTTCTCGAGAAACGACTTTCTATTCCAACCCTATCAAAAAGGCTTAGAGACAATATCCAGGATTTGGTGCCTACAAATATAGGGGAAGGCAGCAGCCAACAAAAAGATGAACCTGATGCAAAAAAAAGGAAAAGATGTTCACTTTGCTCCTACAAAAAGAACCGCATGACTAAAATCAGATGTATGAAGTGCCAAAAAACATATGCGGGGAACATAAGATAGAAATATGTGTTAATTGTGCCAAATTAGGATAATTTCTCTTTTATATCGTTAATTCGTTCTTATTTTATTTTAATTAATTTTAAAAGAAGAAGTTTTTTAATTTATGTTATTCTTTTTTTTTAAATTATCAGATTCATGATTGTGATCTCAAAAAAAGTATTAAGAGAGTAAAACTATTTTTTATATAAATTTTTTCTTATATATAAACATTTTTTTATTTAATACCTACATAAACATAGCTTATACCTATATAAAATAAAAATACAGACAGAAAATTGGTTTTGATGTTCAATTTATGTACTCATTCATGTGTAGTCAAAATGACTCATGATTAGTATATACGTTTGTAAAATATGATTAGTATTCTAGGGTTAACACTAAAATCTGTGAGTTTTTGGACTGAAAAAGGGCTAATTACAGAGTGGACATCGTCACTTTATGGCAAACACCGGAATGGATTGGATTGGCACCGCGGAAGGGACTGTAGCATTGCCTAAATTTCGACGGAATCAAAGGCTTTCTCATAGTCCACATACGCCAGGCAAAGTAGCAGAACCTACTATTCGGTCTTCTGTACAATCTGCCGCAGGGTATGTATGTCGTCTATGGTACTGAAGCCTTTTCGGAAACCGGCTTATTCGAGAGGCTTCTTATTGGAAGTCGTCGAGTCTGCGTGCGAGACGATTCGTAATGACTCTCGAAAACAGCACGTAGACGCGGCTCAGAAGGTAAATTGGTCTGTAGTTCTTCAAGAGAGCGTTGTCGCCTTTCTTAAAGAACAAGACCACAGCACTATTGCCCCACGCTTCCGGAGTAGTGCCACCATGGAAAACGGAATTGAAGAGTTTCTTAAGGACTTCAAGTACCGGTGCTCCACCCACTTTCAGAAGCTCCGCTCTAATTCCATTCTCGCCTGGGGTATATCGCCCCTGCCATTTTTAAGGTGCTAGAGAGCGATTCTAATCTCGCTCAGACTGACGTCCGGGATATCATCGAAATAGTGTCGGATAATACTTGCTCTTGGATCGTTACTCACACTTGCGTGTGACTCCAACAATGATGTGTAAAGCTGCCCATAGATCCTCTAAATCTCACTCAAAATCTGAGGCGTCCCGGAAACGATGCTGCCACACTCAGTCTTCAGCATTGACAGTTGGCTCTTTCTGGTAGACAGATCTCTGGCAAAGACTTTGGAACCCTGGTTCCGCTCGATCGCTTCTTTAATACGAGCAGTATTAAAGTTGCGTAAGTCTCGCCGCATGCATTTGGAGATCTGTAAGTTCAATTGCCTGTATTTTGTCAAATCTGTTGACGATTGCAGCCTCATGTCCTGTCTAACAGCCATGAGATTAAGAGTGTGATCGGAGAGTTTTTGTGTTCTTCCGCAGCGGGTCTTGCAGAACTAAGTTCCGACCGCATGGACAGTTTCCACAAGCTTGTCATTCATATCATCCACTGCATTGCAATCATCTAGGCACTGAAAGCGGTTACGTAACTCGAGCTGAAAGGTTTCGGGATTCTGGATTAGAGCACGAGGAGGACGGAACGTTGACTTCATTAGACGAGACCTCTTCAACATAACGTTTAGGTTCAATGTGCCTCTAACCATTCGGTGATCGCTGCCAGTTTTCACCATTGCGATCACTGAGACATCACTGAACAGTTCGCGTCTGATCGTTATAATGAAGTCAATCTCATTTTTTGTCAAACCGTCGGGGCTCGACCAAGTCCACTTTCTATGGGGCCGCTTCTGGAAGAAAGAGTTCATCATAAAAAGTCCCTATTTCTCAATGAAGTCGGCCAGTTGCTGGCCCCTTGGGTTCCGTTGCCCTATCCCAAATTTCCTCACCGTTCTTTCCTGTGCCCAGTATTGCGTTGAAGTCTCTCATTAACACCGTATAGTGAGTTTTGGAGGAATGCAAGGCTCTAGAAACATCCTCATAAATTTCCTCCACCTCCTCATCGGGATGTTCTGAAGTTGGCGCGTAAACCTGTATGACCTTCAGCGAATACCGTTTTGTGATTCTGAGTATAAGGTACGCAATCCTCTTCGATAAACTCCCAATCCAATCAATGTAGTCGTATACAATCCGTTAATTCTTAAATTAAATAGTAGTACAGGTGTTGACGGGATCAGCTCTAAAACTATTAAATATATAAGAGACCATACTCACTCTAATGTCCGGGTGACCATAGTCGCCTAAAACTTTTTCCGGTTGAACGTTAGAGCGACTAGAGCGGCCTCACTTCTAAACTTTAAACAACTTTTGATCTACAGAATGTTACCAAAAGCTTTATGAATGTTGTAGATGGCTCTATATTAAAAAACGCATCTATGGGTTAGTAAAAGGTCCATGCCAGGTCATCATTACAGCCCTTCACAAGTCCACTGCTGAACATAGGCCTCCCCCAAGTAATGGCCACAAAGCACGGTCCTGAGCCACCTGCATCCATCGACTTCCTGCATGTCTTACCAGGTCGTCACTCCATCTAGTGGGGGGTCGCCCTACACTACGCCTACCGGTACGAGGCTGCCACTCGAGAACCTTTCTTCCCCATCGGTTATCGGTTCTTCGAGCTATACGGCCGGCCCATTGCCACTTCAGCTTACTAATCCGTTGGGCTATGTCGGTCACTCTGGTTTTACTGCGGATATCCTCATTTCTGAGTCTATCACGCTGTGAAACTCCGAGCATAGCCCTCTCCATAGCTCGCTGAGCGACCTTGGGCGTCCTCATACGGCCAGCGGTGAAGGATCACGTCTCAGATCCGTAAGTCATCACTGGCAACACGCACTGGTTATACACTTTAGTTTTCAGAGATTGAGGTATACCTGACGAGAAGATGTGTCGTAATTTCCCGAACGCTGCCCAGCCGAGTTGAATCCGTCGATTGACCTCTCGGTCGAAGTTGGACTTACCTAGTCGGACTATTTGTCCCAGGTAAACGTACTCGTCAACAACTTCGAGCATAGTGCTCCCAACAACTACCGGCATAGGTGTGACATGGACATTAAACATGATCTTTGTTTTGTCCATGTTCATCTTAAGACCTATCCGTTGGGAGACACCATTGAGGTCATTGAGCATAGTGCTAAGGTCCTCCAGCGATTCTGCCATAAGGACTATATCGTCGGCAAATCGAAGGTGAGAGATGTACTCGCCATTGATGTTAATACCGTATCCTTTCCAGTCCAGTAGCTTGAAAACGTCTTCCAACGCAGCGGTGAAGAGTTTCGGGGATATAATATCACCCTGTCTTACACCTCTTGCAGTTGGTTAGGTTTCGTACTCTGGTTCTGTACTCGTATAGCCATCGTAGTCCTACTGTACAAACACTTCAGCACTTCAATATACCGACAGTCGACTAGGCACCCCTGAAGAGACTGTAGCACCGCCCAAATTTCGACGGAATCAAAGGCTTTCTCATAGTCCACATACGCCAGGCAAAGAGGCAGATTGTACTCTTCGGACTTCTGTACAATTTGCCGAAGGGTATGTATGTGGTCTATGGTACTGAAGCCTTTTCGGAAACCGGCTTGTTCGGGAGGCTGGAAGTCGTCGAGTCTGCGTGCGAGACGATTCGTAATGACTCTCGAAAACAACACGTAGACGCGGCTCAGAAGGGAAATCGGTCTGTAGTTCTTCAAGAGAGCGTTTTCGCCTTTCTTAAAGAACAAGACCACCGCGCTTCTGCTCCACGCCTCCGGAGTAATGCCACCATGGAGGACGGAATTGAGGAGCTTTTGAAGGACTTCAAGTACCGGTGTTCCACCCGCTTTCAGAAACTCCGCTGTAATTCCATCCTCGCCCGGGGCCTTGCCGTTTTTAAGGTGGTGGAGAGCCATTCTAATCTCGCTCAGACTGACGTCCGGGATATCATCGGAATAGTGTCGGATAAGACTTGCTCTTGGATCGTTACTCACACTTGCGTGTTGCTCCAACGATGATGTGTACAGCTGCCCATAGAACCTCTCAATCTCACTCAGAATCTCAGGTGTCCCGGAAACGATGTTGCCACACTCAGTCTTCAGCCTTGACAGTTGGCTCTTTCTGGCAGACAGATCTCTGGCAAAGACTTTGGAGCCCTGGTCCCGCTCGATCGCTTCTTTAACAGGTAACAGATGGCATTGAAAAAAAAGAAACAAGCGTTGTGTCAAGTTCTGTGTAGTGGCCGGTGTTACTGCGAGTTCTTCATTTAAAATGTAAGTAATAATATATTTATTAT